ATCTGATAGAAAAGTTACTGACAAACTTGAACAATACATCATTTTGTAGAGCGTGAAAAACTGCGTCGATCTAAACTATTAGTTTTTGTATTGAATACACGAATGAAAAAAGTATAGGTATCATACTTACTGCCTGAAATACTCAAAAGTGATATAGATCCCTCAGACTATTTCGAACTCAAATTTTATTTTTGCGTTGAATTACAAGCAAAAGAAATATACAGATATGTGCAGAATTTCAAGCTTTATCTTTCTAAACTAATGGAAGTCAAAACTAGTGGGGTGGCAGATTTACGATCTTATCCGGCGGTATCCTTTTCTTACATATTGCATTTTATTTAATGTTATAAAGTAAAAATAAATCATAATGTTGTAGGCCATAACAGCAAGGCTATGTAGGTTCTGTCATTATTGTTTTCCTTTTGAGGGTGTGGATATCGATGTATTATAACACCCACACCCACACCCAAAAATCTATTAGCCGCCGCCGCTGAGACACTTTCATTACAGCCGCCACGCCGCCGATGCTTCGAAATTTTCAAATTTTCGAGCTACCGCCGCTGACATCTATTATACATATCGATAAATTTTTATTTATATTTTCCTCAATTCTGTATTGGTTAAAAATTCTAAGTAATCATCTCAGCTGTTTATATCTACTATATATATAAGAAGAGATGTGCATTTTCAATTTCGATTATCAAAAATAAAAACAAACTTATGTACAATAGGTGCTTTTGCTTATTAAGAATTGCGTAGTGATTTTTCATTTGCTAGTTATCGTAGTGATTATATTTATTTTTCATTAATTAATATTCTTGGTGGTTGTATTAATTGTTTATCTATTAATATTCTTGGTGATAGTGGTAGGTATTCACTTATTATTAATCTTGGTGGTAGTATTGGTTTTGATTGTTAATATTCTTTGGCACGTATATCTATTTTTCATTTATTAATATTCTCATTGATTGTATTCGTTTTTCACTTATCAATAATCTTAGTGTTTCTTTTTTATTCATTATCAATTCAAGTTATATTTTGTACCCAAAATCTGATGGTTTTCTATGTATTAAAGGTCTTGGTAATTTTTTATTCGTTTGTAGTCCCGGTGATGTTTTTTCAATATTAGGAAATTCGTAGATGCTTTTTATTGATAAATAAATATTTTTGTTTTCTTTTTTTGTTCATATTTAGGTTCATTTTGCATTCGAAATGACAAATATTTACTGTTTAAACAAAAATTTGTTTATTAATATAAAACCACCTAAACCCCCCCCCCCCCCCCCCCCCCTACAACGCCATCCTATAATAGAAGGCCACTCGCAATAGAACGCCACCTCCAAATGGTTGATTCGCTAGACATAATAGAACTCCATATCAGTCAATTTCATTTACTCATTCACATTAGTCACTTTTTTTCGTTCTGTCATTGATGCACGTCATTTATAGGACGAAAAATTTGTATATTTGTTTTCGTTCTGTTGCATCTCACGATGAAAGAATATACGATTCTCTCCAATACATATCGTGCAACAGTGACAGAATGAAAAAAAATCGACTAAGTATGAATGAATGAGTGAGTGAATGAATGCAATTTCTTCCATTCACAGTAAAACCAACGAGTAAACTACGTTTGTGGTTGAAATGAATGAAGCTAGCAGAAAAAAAATACCAAAAAAATGAGCAGAGGTATAGAAGGAATTTTCTGAAATAGCCATAATAGAAAGCCACCCATAATAGAACGCCATCAAAAAAAGGCCGATTCACTGGAACGTAATAGAAGGCCATGCCTTTTTGTTTCAGGGGGGGGGGAGGGGGTTAATATACTAAAATCATCGTTTGTTTGGGATTATTTTGGTAATTTGTACAAGAAACCGAATGAGGCAGTGGATATTCAACATGTTTATTGTAAAATTTGTTTTAACAAATTGAAAGATGACCAACCTGATGTTAATTTTTTTTCAATTAAACATCTTACTGGCGTTTACAGCAATACAAGTGGTACAGGAAATATGAAAAATCATTTACTATCAATCCACCAAGTAAGAGAATCATCACAAACAAAAACAACAAATCAACATATTCTTTCCATGTTTTCTCGTGATCGTCATTCGATGAAATCTTCACAATTAAAACAACAGCTAGGTCATCAGTTAACATTAATGTGTTATAGAGATCTTTTACCATTTTCTATCGTTGAAAATGAAGGTAATTTTTTTTCTAGAACATTATATATATAGTCATTAAGTGTTTTTATGCTTAGGTTTTCAAGATTTTCTGATATCCAACAAAATTGTTTCTTCAAAGTCAGAAATTCCTTCACGTACTACACTATCACCTATAAATCTCAATAAAATTTACGATGTCTGTTATCAAAAAACGAAAGAATTATTAAAATTGTCAATAAAATTTCCTACAATTACGTGTGATACATAAACCGATAAATATAAGCATCGTTCATACATTTGTTTTACAATACATTTTCTTGATTCAAATTTACAGTACCACAACTATAGTTTGAAAACACAATCATTTGATGAATCTCATATAGATGAAGCTAGAAAAGATCTTGTTTTAGTTGTTTTACATGAATTTGGTATAAATTCTAATAATATAATTGTGGTGAGAGAAATTAATCATGAAATATTCGTGCCATGTTTGTTTTTTTTTGTGTAGGTTTCAGATCAAGGTGCAAATATGCGTAAAGCATGGAAATTATTAAACGCAATACATACATATTGTATTGGCCATGGTATTCGCAACTAGGCATGCACCGAACCCGGGAACAATCCGGGATTCTCGAGTTCGGTCATTCCCGGGTTCGGTCATTCCCGGGGTTCGGTCATTCCCAGATTCGGTCATTCCCGGGGTTCGGTCGTTCCCGGATTCGTAGTGGTACCCATGACTCCTTAAGTCTTACCGTAGGGGGATGCCCTTAGGTCCTCAAGTCCTACTATTGAAGGGTACCCTTAGACCCTCAAGTCCTACTATTGGGGGATACCCTTAGGTCCTTAACTGCTACTACAGGAATACCCTTAGGTCCACAAGTCCTACTATAGCGGGAGCCCTTAGATCATCAAGTGCTACTATAGGGGGTACTCTTAGATCCTCCAGTCCTACCATAGGGGAATAAACTTGGGTCCTCAAGTTCTACAATAGGAGAATGCCATTGGGTCCTCAAGCTCTATAATAGGGGGATGCGCTTGGGTCCTCAAGTCTTGCTATAGAGCAATACCCTTGGACCCTCAACTTGAGGGCCTCAAGTCCTACAATACGGGGGTACGTAACATCATCTAGGATGCTAAAGCTGATTGGTTGATAATCGACCAATCAGAATCGACGAAGCTGTTTCTTCGTTATTGTAAGGACAAAACCTACTCATGTTCGGGTCAAATGAAAGAGAACCCCAGAAAACCCTAAGATCGACCCGAACAACCCTACGTTTTGTCCGAATCATAGAGAAAAAAACCGCACTAAAATCTGATAGGTTGATAATCGGCCAATCAGATTCGGAGACGATGTTTCTCATCTATTGCAAGGGCAAAGCATAGGATTATTCGGGCTGATCTTAGGGTTATCTGGGGTTCTCTTTCATTTGACCCGAACATGAGTAGGTTTTGTCCTTACAATAACGAAGAAACAGCTTCGTCGATTCTGATTGGTCGATTTTTAACCAATCAGCTTTAGCACCCTAGTTTTCCCTCTAGCATCCCGGGTGATGCCTCTAGCATCCTAGATGATGTTACGTACCCCCGTATTGTAGGACTTGAGGGTTCAAGGGTATCCCACTATGGTAGGACTGGAGGATCTAAGAGTACCTCCTATAGTAGCACTTGATGACCTAAGGGCTCCCGCTATAGTAGGACTTGTGGACCTAAGGGTATCCTTGTAGTAGCAGTTAAGGACCTAAGGGTATCCCCCAATAGTAGGGCTTGAGTGCCCAAGGGTCCCCCCCCCCTCAATAGTAGGACTTTAGGACCTAAGGGCATCCCCCTACGGTAGGACTTAAGGAGCCATGGGTACCACTACGAACCCGGGAATGACCGAATCCGGGGAACCACCGAACCCCGAGAATGACCGAACCCCGGGAATGACCGAACCCGGGAATGACGGAACCACGGGAGCGACCAAACCCGAGAATCCCGAACCGGGGAATCCCGGATTGTTCCCGGTTCGGTGCATGCCTACCTCCTATAGTAGGACTTGAGGACCTAAGGGTACCTCTATAGTGTAGCTCAAGCACTTTAACTTTAACTTTTTTTTTAAAGTTAAAGTGCCACCCCTAGATTGTCGTAGACATTGCGCGATGTCTTTACCATGGATAGATTTGTGTTTGAAATGTCAGTATATTCTTGTCATTTTTCTCTGTATGTTCGATTTGACTTTAAGCGCCGACTGTAGGCAAATCGTTGCATTTGTTTTAAAAGATCAATGATGGACGAAGCGACCTGGCGAGAGAGACCCAATAATTCTCTTTGATTCACGAAGAAGATTTTCAACGTTTGATATCTCTGGATTTTACTTCTTATTTTTCTTTTTTTCGATTAACTTTTTCAGAATTTTCCTCTTCTGAATTTTTTATTGCGATTGATTTTCTGTTTGTAGAACGTTGTCCTGAGAATGGCAAAAAAGGACTATGATTTTTTATTCAAACTGTTGCTCATCGGCGACAGCGATGTTGGCAAGGTAGAGAAACAAAATGAGCTGATAATTTATCATCTGTGAGGCTGATATGTTATTGTTTAGACTGAGATAATATTCCGATTTGTCTCTGATATATTCAATGAATCGTTCGTATCCGCAATCGGTATTGATTTTAAAGTGAAGACAATCGAACTCGACGGTCGAAAGATAAAGTTACAGATATGGTAAGTGTAATTTTGTTCGCCTTGTAAAACGAAGTCGTAATAGGAAAATATATACACATGTAAGTAGCACTGCATGTGCACAAACGAAAGTCAAGAATCTTTTACTAATCAAATACGCTACTTGAT